AAGGATCCAAAATGCACCCCCCCCCAAAGGAAAAAAGACCTCATCACTACTTTGGGGAACCTAGAGGAATATAGGGAGGTTCATTTTCTAGATCCTTTAGGGGGTGTGGGTAGCTTCAGCATCCCAAGTGCGAGTGAAGTTTTCTCGATCAAACCTGTTCTGACTGGAACTGGCACGATAAGATAAATCGGGGGGGGGGGGGGGGGGNNGTCACTTAAGGGTCAGGTGGGAGTGGCCCCTACAACTATCCCTATACAAGTATCATATATCATACAACTGTCATTGATACCCTTGTACTACTCCTTTTCACCCCTTGAGCACGAGTAAGTGTAGGAAGCATCCTGACCTACCCAAAGAGCCTGATAACATGTAGAGGGCCTTAAGAATTGGCATAATGTGTTGGAGTATTTTGTACGATGTCTTATACAGGTCTTCAAGTCGGTGGCGCTTATTTAGGCTGCGACAGTACTCAAGGAACACATCTTATGTTCCTGTAGGCTTTGAGGTATGAGGGTCAGGTTTTAGTCTATACCCTCACCATCATTCCTCGTGAACATCAAGGACAAGTACAGGAGGGAAGGGGAGTTCCCAATGGATGGACCTTCTACATGGGGTCTATTGCGACTTTTCTGGGGTCACGGGCAGTTCTGTACAGGGTATACCAGGCTTATGTCTCCAACTGCGAACGCAGCTTCTGTGGCTGGCTGAAACTGCATATGGTAACGAAAAACTAGAAACACATGCCCGGCTTCATGTATTTCCTAACCAAAAAGGTATTGGACGCCCGGACGCTGCATCCTTCACCTAAGACTTGCTGGGGCAAAAGGAGCTCCAAGGCGAAGGGAAGGGCATAAGCTTCGGGTTTCGCGTTTCAGGTTGAAGGTGTTTAATGGACTATTATCAGGTCTTTAAAGACATGTTCTGCCCACCTAAGCCTCGTCTGGGACCGAGACTGCTGTCTGTTTGAAATAGTCGAACATGCATGTTAGTCTCTGTTATTGGGTACCTCCACCCCACAACATCTGATGTTAAGAAACTGACAGCTGTTAGGGAACCCTAAGGCCTAAACCCAGGATAA